ATTAATGTATTGTGAAGATATGGTGTACCCTAGTTCCAAGTCAACACCCAGGGTCGATCCTAAAGCCAAGTAATCCTATAGGGACTCTTCTTGAATTCTCTTATAATGATCTTACCTACTAAATGCTAGAGGTTAAGATCAATATGTGGAATTTCAAGCTGAGTAAAAAAAGAAGAGTTTTGAATTTCTAATGGTGGGGTACCTCTTCTAATTTTCTAAGACTAGTCAATAGGAAAGTCTTATAGCTAGACCTAGGCTACTAAAGAAGTTTTCTAGACCTCAACCAAAAATGAGGTCAACAACCGTAGAGGTTATTGGGGGTTATTGTGGCGTTATTGGAGTTAATGCTTCAATAACCCCCCAATAACATCTACGGTTCCACTCCAATAACATCCATGATTCCAGTCCAATAACCTCTGCTTTTCTACTTTAATATTTTTTTAAGTGGAAGTGGACCGATATAGCACACATGGCGGCATATTACTTGAGTCTGTAAGCAAAGATATGTCGGGACTCCGGATGTAATATTTTCTCCACACAGAGTGGCCACTCCACTATATGTAGGCGTGGTCATGCCCATGTCTAGCATGGCTAGAATGTGGAAGTTTCAGGCGTTGTCACTCCCTGGCTAGGCGTGACCACGTCGAGGAACTTTTGGGCATGGTCAAGCCAAAGCCTGACGTGACCACACGAGACCAAAAAAAAGGCAGATTCAATTTTTGACCAATTTTGTTGAGTTGGATCAAGGGGTGATGTTCATGCAAGGCCTTTATGATAAGAAAATGTGGTCAAAGCTGACATGGCTGATAAGCTTGTTTTACATTAGGGCCCGCATACTCACAATACCATGACCAAACCATCGTGCGGGGCCTTCGCCTCAGCCCACTTGCCCGACTTGGTCCCAACCTGCCCACAATCAAGAATAATGAGTCGGATTCCGCCGACGACCCAACCTGATTGCCAACAAATGTTAAATTAATGGGTGTGGTGGGATTCAAACACGGACCATGTGAAGAGGAAACGTCTCCTCTTGCCAACTGAGCAAACATTTTGTTATGTGTGTGTGTGTGGGCGCGCTCGCGCGTACGCGCCCAAAAGTTTGTTCTCTATATAAGAAACAAAAAAGGAGAAAAAGAAAACTCAAATCTTTATATTTTTGGATGACAAAGTTGGCCTTGCCCAAAAATTTGGGGCAAATGATACGTTATCAACAAATTTTCATCATTCGACACAAATCTATATGCATTACACAAATTTTGAGGTAATTTTTTTAGCAAGAAATGTTCACTTTGATTAAAAATCATCCGGGACTTTAGTTTCAACAAACTTATATTCAAACTGATTAGCTTAATGAGACAGAATCAATGGCACCAAAATTGGTCCAATCAAAGTAAAATCAAGCCCAAATGAAGTGGTTAAACCACTTTTTGAAGCTTTTAGAGCATAATTGGAAGGTCAAATTGATTCCAAAACTGACATGTTATATTCAAATCGAGCATCTCTAGAAGATGAATCCAATGAGCTCAAGGTTACTCAATTCTAACATCATTAAGACACCTAAATGTTTACATAATATCATCTAATTGAGGGAAACTCCTAAGGCTATCGATAAAAGTCGTATGGATTCTTTCTTTATTTGCAACTTAGGCTCTATAAATAGATCCCTATCCCCTCTTGAAATGGGACCTAGACCTTGAGCTATAGGAAGACCTAAGCTTGAAGAATGAGCTGAAACCCATCATCATTTGTGCACCAAAGATCCGATGAACTCCTCTAACTTCTACAGCTGTTGATCACCATCGACCACCGCTCGCTGGCCTTGTTGACCACCATTGGTCGCCACTCACTCTTGGCAACGAAATCCCTTGCGAAGAAGTCACAAAGTGCGATGTTGAATCCCGGTGTGCGTTGCAGAACATCAAAACACCAAGCGGAGCATTGCGTCACCTAGTATGCTCGTGTAGCGACGCGCCTCAAAGACAGTGTATTGGTTCTAGTAATTGTTCTCAATTGCAACAACTCCAGAACATTGTACAACAAACATTATATCTTAAGGAATTATGTAGTCTTTCTCTATCTGTGAGACAAATGTCTATATGTGTAATCAACAATTCATAATAGATTGTTGTAACTGAGTCAGGTCTGATGATTTTTTTCCCTTTCTTGATTTTTCACTTAAAAAAGTTACTCTACTGATGATGTCTTTTTTTATTTGTGTGTGTGTTAAACTCTCGTGCATTGTTAAGATGATAATTCATTACTCCATTATCCTGAATTCTCTAGCAAGCCTCAATGGCATTATTGTAAAATCAAAGTTCAGGTATAAGATACATAAAAGAAATGGGTTATGCACGTAAATGCCGCCACGTAAAATACACTCCCTTCAATCATCACAATAGGCAAATGACTGCAATTTCAACGCCAACATAATATTTTATAAAATAAGGTATCAGGGTTAACAATAATTTGCCACAAACTTCACAAACGTGTCGAAAGAACCGATAAACTGTCAAAATCACCCAGCTAGCGTACAATCAGCAGCGTACGCAGGAGACCGTTGAAGTTTATTTATTCAAATTGAAACCCAACTCCGGTCCGCGGTCAACCGGTTCACTAAAAATACCAAATTAAACCCGAGTCAAGATGATAAACACGGTTAAGGAAAAGAAAATACGTCTGAAATTAACACGGCAGAAATATTTTTAATAACATATAATTGACTGTAAATATCCTCGAAGAAGACGAGAGCTTATGAAGGCAGAACCCATCGCGTTAGCTTCATTCAGACTTGAAGAGGAAACCCTAAGCTTTCAGGATTATCTCTCTCAAACTTCTTCTGCTTATCCTTCATCCTCGTCGTCATTCTTCCTTTCTTTGTTCTTCGACTGTCAGTGAAGAAGAGATGGTGCCTTCGTTGCAGTCGATCTTTTCGACGCCATCTTCGGCGATAGGGCGAGTGGAGAAGGCGACGAGCCGACTCCTGCTAAGTCCGGATTGGATGATGAACATGGATATCTGCAGCTCCATTAATGCGGATCCATGGTGCGTATTTGTTTTTGGTTGGAAATTGGAATCGCTTTAATTTGATTGGAAATCCAAATTTTTAATGCTTAATTGGGTATTTCAGTCGAAAATAACTGATGATTTGTACCCCCCTTTTTTTCTTTTTGACTGCGCTCTATGGTTGTGGATTTTGGCTGTTATAGCGTAAAAATTGCTAAAATTAGTCGTCTGCGCTTTGTTTCTCTGTTGTATTAACGGTTTTCTTCCCCTTATTGTCTTGCGTGTGCTGCTCTAATATTTGAATTATGTGGGAGATTTTAGCTTGCCTGGATTTGAATTTAGATTAAGTTCAAAAGAAATTACAAAGAAAGATTTATTTCTTATGGTTTGGATAGAAAGAAAGATGAACGCAGCAAGGCAGAGAAAATCAAGAAATGGTGATGATTTGTTAAAAAGAAGGTATAAATTGTTTTCCAGTAAGTTATTGAGTAATCTTTGGTCGTTTCTTTTTTAATTGTCTGCTGATTGACTTAAAATGGCTGATGAACAATCTGATTTTGGTTGTCGTAGTCAAGGAACCATTTAATTGGAATACGTATTCTGTGACTATGAAAACTAGGTAGTTCTTTTATTTTATCTTCGAACTTAGAAATGAAAATTTAAAGCTTTCCATACCAAGAATCACTAAACTTTAGTTCTTTCTCCCTGTGCTCCTTAGAAAACATAAAATATATTTAAGCTTGATTAGAATTCTTTGTTTTTTTGGTCACCATAATCATGAGAACATTGCTTGTATCTCCTGAAGTCATGCTCAATGAAAAAAAGTTTTGAGTTAGTAGAGTTTGAGAGCTTGATCGTCTGATATTGGAGTTAACCTAAACAACAACGGAAAGTAAGATATTATTAATGAAAGCAAGGAGAAAATTACAACCAATACACCGAAATAGGAAGTAACAGCAAACTTGACACACAAACTCAACTAGAGATCTATCCATGGGTGGTGGAGGCCAGGTAGGTGGGTTGGAAGGGGTTTTGGAGGGTGGTTGTTACAACAAGTAAGATTTATATGGGGTGGATGAGGTGCCGTAGAGATTGGGGGTGGCTGGAAGAGTCGTAAAACAACAAAGCGGAGGAACTGAAGAGCTGCGACAGTGATGTCGGACAGATAGACAATGTTAGAATAGTAAGGGAAGGAGTAACAGGGTTGCGTCAATGACGTCGGATTGCTCAACAGCAGGGAAACAACAGGGAGCGATGAGTAGAGGTGGCATGGGAAGGTTGTGGATGGGTAGAGGTGGTTGTGCTCGGTGCAGCAAGGTTTGTAAGGGAGGGAGGTGGCTGGAAATGGGGGAACTGCAGGGAACAATAGCAATAATTGATGTTTAGGGCGGTTGCAGCAGTGAAGAATGATTTGGAGTTGCAGGGAGCTATGGAGGAAGGATAAATCATCACCTTGGGCGCAAGATACAGTCTGAGCATCACTCAACCTTTGGATACAGTCATCATCTCAAGAGCGTGATACAGCCGGAGCAACACTACCTTTGGATATAACCCTCGAAGGGAAAATTTGAAACATCGATGGTTGTCTCGACAGAAAGCACACAAAAACTTAAAACCTAAAACATGAAAAGAAAATATATAAACCCCAAATAACTAGGATTGGGTTTCTCTGTCGAAAGGAGGTGCCAAACCGATCGATTCTCCCAAGTCTGGACCGATTCGGTGAAGATGTTTGGAGCGCAGAAGACTCCTGCGCCTGCATGCCGAGACACAATCCTGTACCTCTTTTGACGCTTGCATCATTATCTTAGCTACAAAAGACTGCTCATACACAATAAGAAAATAAAATAAATATAAGAAGTGACAATTTCTTGCTTTAAAAATCTAAAGAAAAAATCATAGTGCCAAAGCCTGATTTAGACATCTTGTGCGTGTAATATATACAAGTTACAAAGGAGGCCTATCCTCAAACTCAAAGAATACATAAGTACAAGGCGAAAGTGCTCTTTTTAGAAGCCTCAATATTTGCGACGTAACAAAATTGAGTATTGTGAACAATCCTATATCGTGAGAAGAAATTTCATATGACTTGAAAGCAATAGAATGTTGAATTAAGCTTAAAAAGGCGATTAAAGGTTGTCCTCATGGGGGTGAAGGTGGCATGACTATGAGACAATAGATAAGACATTGTTAAATGGTCAGAGAAGCCAATGAAGATGACTAGGATGGTCTTCCTAGATGTGAAAATAATAAACATAAAGTGGATGGACAAAGAAATTGAAAGGTCATAAAAACCATTGGGGATGGCTGGGTTAGTCTTTCTCATAAATGTGAAGGTAGCATGATCTATAGGGAGAGAATGACATGATATTGGATGGTAGTGGGGGATGCATTTATCATTTCTTCTCTTTGAGCTATAGACAAGATGTGTTGAAAGCCATGAGTGAGAAGGCACATGAGGGTCATTGAGGACGCTTAGAATTATCTTCCTTGTGGACGTGTACAAGGAAGGAGCTAATGGCAGCGAGCAAGGATCATAAGAAAATGTAGACATGATTTGAATTTGATTGAAGGCAGTCAAAGTTGTCATTTCTTTTGAAGGTGGAAAAATCGTGATTGGGAAGCACGAGATGAGGTAATACTACTGGGTCATGTAGGTGACTAAGGTGGTTAGTATAGTCCTTCTAGAAGTGTAGACAATACATTTTAAAACCACACGTGAGGAGCTCAAGAAGGTCATGGTTGTGATGTAGAGAAGTTGGAACAATCCTCAGAGGATAAACAATGGTCTATGATAACTTTTAGTGTTGTTCAGTGCTCTGCAATCCTCTACAACGTAAGAGTTGAAAATGCTCTAAAAAGCAACTTTATGGTGTATTTAAAATTTTTTACAAGGTCCTTTTAGTCCTTATCTATATTATATTATTATATTATTTTTTTCATTAACAATGGAAAACCAAATTCTTGTCGCTTTGCTAGCTCGGTCAATTTGATTGGGATCGATTAGACGAGAACAAATAGTAGGTGACAATTTCTCCAGTTGAAAAATTGAATATATCATCTTGTTGATCTTCATTCTACAAATTTAATAAACTTAATGAATCAAATTTTTTATAGTTTAACTGACTAGAATAATCCTAAGAAAGTTTGTGGATGAAATTTATGGTCACCTAAAAGCATGAACAATTGTCTCCCTTTGTGTTGTTGTTTACCACTTTAAGAGTAATCATTTGCCACAAATCACTTATGAAATGGAGATTTGTGAGGTCATAAGAACTCTAGGAAGTTGAGACTTTATTGGATGAGTTTCGCCAAAATCATGTTTGCCTCAAAATAGTTGGGTGCCATGGATTGAAAGCTTGTTATGAAGGGATATATATATATATATATATATTGTCAATTGTAAGTCCCCTCTGGTTTGGGGTTCGATCCCCCCCTGGTGGGAGGGTGATACTTGAATTATTAGGTGCATTCGGGTTGGTCGGGGCTCGTATAATAGCCTCTGGTCATTCCTTTTTAATACACACACACATACATACATATACCTCTCCAGTATATGGAGTAGGGAGATAGTCTACTTTATCGCTTTCTATATAAATGGGACTTACATCTAAAGGAAGGCCCACATAGGAGTTTATGAAACCTCATACAAAATTTAAGGACTAAACCCTAGTTTCTCCAGCATGTTAGTCATATTTCTTTCCTATTGTAACATTGATAAATTTTTTGCCTGGTCTCAATTTCATAAAAATGTACTTGTGGCTGTTTTAATATTTGGAATGTTTAATCGTGTCAGGAAGGCAAAATCCTTTGTTAAGGCTGTGAGGATGAGGCTACAAAATAAGAACTCAAAGGTTCAATTTCTTGCTTTAACGGTATGTAACAAAACCATGAAAGAGCTATATCGGCGAACAGGCTTTCCATCTTTCTCCACTAACATTTTGTCAACTTTTGCAGCTTTTGGAAACAATGATAAAGAACTGTGATGATTTTGTGCATTTTCAAGTTGTTGACCGTGGAATCTTGTCAGAGATGGTTAAGATTGTTAGAAAATCAGTAAGTTTGCTCTGTTTCTCAATTTTTTAATAGTGCTTCTGTTGGGATTTTTTTTGTGACTAATCCTGGTAATTATTGTTTTTTTTTGCACTCTACAAAGCTTTTCTTATGAAGCAAATATTGGAGAACATTATGAATGAATTTATGTTTAATATTTGGTATTCCAACTAGTATCAAATGTTCATTCATCTGCAATGTTATTATTTAAGTGCTAAAAGGCTTTGTAGTTTTTGGATAAAGACTTGAAACAGTGTCATAATTGCTTTGTTATATGAACAATTTTTCCTTATATCTTATCTTCATTATAAAAATAGTCTATCACAGTCAAAAAATATAATTAATTTACAAAGATGGAAAGAAGCAAGATGTATTGCTTCTTACAGATATTGATGCATTAATTATCCTTAAATTAAATCATCACTGATTTGTTTGTTATCACAGGCATATACAAGTTTTTTACATTATATTACATACCAAGTATAGCTCATGATATCATTGTGATAATGAAATTCACCTGCTATAGCCACATATGCTTGGTTTTTGTTATTATGTAATTTATTTCTCCACTTGATAATTTTTTTTTACTTAAATTATGATGTATTTCACAGAAAAATATGGAAGTAAGAGAAAAAATTTTGATACTTCTGGAATCTTGGCAAGAAACATTTCGTGGACCGAATGGAAGGTATCCACAATTCTACAACACATATGTTGAACTTAAGGTATGTGATTATAAAATCAAGCCTTAAACTAATAGTATTTATTTTAATTAGAGCTAGAGTTATTTTTATTGAATTATGGCATGTTTCCAAAGAGAAATTAACGATAATATGAAGAACAATTAATCCTTCAAAATAAGTAAAACATAATTGTAAACAAAAAAACATGTTTATTTTTGTTGTCATGTAAATCATTTTAAATGTGTTCTTTCTAGTGTATTTACCTTCTTTCTAACAGTACAATTTTCTAAGGATGTTAAGCCTGAAAATTACTCTAATTAGCAGGAAAAAAACTTTATATACATCTTCCTTTTTCTTGACATTAAATGAATGTTCGAAGTACTATAAATCAAAGCTCAATGCAATTTATGAATGGAACTACAAGACTTGTAATTGATTTTGCTATAAATTTTCTTTCACAGATGACCATGCATAACATCTTATCCATAATACACCCCCCCAAATACCTTATAAGTTAAGTCAGATCTGCTAACCCGCCAAGTTTGTTTGTAGCCTAATTTATGATTGGTCGGGTCATACCCATTAACTCACAAGGTCAGTCCACACATCATTTCAAATTAGATTCATATAGGCACTATCTCAATAGGCGTGAAACTAGCACCTGATCAATCTGCTTAAAGCCCATGACAACTTCCCAAAATCACTTGGTAGGTCAACTTAAGGCGGGACTAAGTACTCGTCCAACAACCAGTTCTTGACGCATAGCTAATTCAATGCCAACATTTCTCACATCTTGCCTCATTAACTTGTCCGAACATGCAATTACTTGGGCATTACAATATCATTTAAGCCGCAGAAGGCAGTAAACTTTTGCATGGGTCGTAAGATACGTCTTGGTACTGCATATCATTATTTATTTTTATAATTTTTCCATCTATGTATTCAAACAGGATATCACTTCATATATAAATAGGTTTCACATATACAAATAGTATTATCATGAGATTTACAATAAAGAGACTAAGAATAATGATACGAGCTTAGCCTCATTCTTTGACTCTCCACCATTCACCCCTTCTCTCTTTTTTCTCTCTTTCCTTAGTGGTTTTATCTAAAGGGTATGTTATCCATATTGTCCATTCATCATAATATCGCCAAATTTATCGATTTAACATTCCTCAAGAATGTTGACGCTAACTTTTCGAAGTCATTCTTCTTACTCCTACTAAATCCTATTCAATTTTAGGTATATTTCTAAGTAACAATGACATGTTTTACACAAAACTTTTTCATAATATGTTTTTTTAATAACTTTGCACTAATAAATTTTAGAAACAAAATGGCTTTTTTTTTGCTTATTGAATTTTCAAATAAATTGTGCAATCTTTTCCTTCTACATTAATACCAAGAGTAATAGAAATGCTTTATTTTATTCACATAGAAATTGGGTAGACTCACATACACCCAATTAGAGATACACACACGTAGATAAATTGAACCATATAAACACATGTAAATTGTCACACATGCATAGAGAAATAAGTACGAATAAGGACCCAATATTGACAAAATATTACAAACAAACACATACATTTGCATATGCACTCTTATGATTATGGATGTACAAAAAAATAGTCATACGAATATTTTGCATGAACTCTCATACCTTCAACGTGCAAGCATACACACCCTAAACGTATATAGAAATAAACATATCAATTTATGTATACATGCACCATGCATCTTCTTATCTTTCACATATGTGCATGCATGCACAATTAATTCAAACTTATAATCTAAGATTGCAAAGTTGATATCCAAGTAAGGACTAATAAAGTTACTAAATAACAAGTTAGCAGATTCATCCTTTCTGATAGTTGTACATTTTCTATGCAGAGATCTGGAGTCCAATTCCCAGAGCAATCCAAAAATACAGATATGATCCTTACTCTTACTGATCCAATGACTACTCAACCTCAAAAAAACTACAAAATTTCTACCAACAGTATTGGAAGACTTCATCAAGTTAGATCTGAAACAGGTCATTTCAGGTTATATATTTTGTTTATTCCCTGAAACCCCAATCCCATCATGTTTTCCACAAAATTTTGTCTTTGTTTTTCTTTTACTCTTTTCATTATCTCTACATGATTTTTCAATCATAATTGTATCTTCAGTTTATCGGATTTGAACAATATCCAAAGTGTTATGGATTTATTCAACAATATATTGGAGGTTATGAACCCAAATGATGATAAGGTCTGTGATTTTATAATGATTGTGCGTTCGAGAGCTTAGTATTTATGAGAATTAGGGTGCATAATAAAAAAATATATTTCATTGCCTCTCAGGCCATCAAGGATGAAGTTATCACAGATCTTGTTAAAAAGTGTGAGATCAATCAGAAGAAGCTTGTGCAGCTTATTAATTCAACCAAGTAAGTATCTTTAAAAAGTAATATTATATTTACCCAACAAATATATCTTCAATAATTTTTTTTAATACAAGTTAGGGTCAATTGTGATTGTTTATAAAATAAGATAATCTATAGCATGTGAATCTCAAACCATATAATTAAGGAAAATGCAAAATTTGTTTATTAGCATGAATATCATGAGGAAGTTTTTATTTCTCTAATTTGGGTGCTTTTCTATAGCATGTCAATGCCTGTCCTTTGTTCTGAAAAATTAAGAGGTTGTTTGAGATCAATTTTTATTTTCATTTTTTGTTTTTTATTTTCATTTTATTTTGTATATATTTTTATTTGAAATAAAACATATTTAATATATTATAATATACTTAGCTGTTTTTAAAAACACTCAAAATTGCTATTAGGTGTCTTGAGTGTTTTAAAAACAAGTTAATTTGTTTTGAAAATGAAAAAAAAGCATGCAAAATATACCCTTAAGTAAATATGTTTTTTTAGAACAAAGCAAAAAATTAAAAGTAATCCCAAACAAGCCCTAAGAAAGTGTTATTTTGGAAATTAAATTTATTATTTTGGAAGTTTGTGGATGAAATGGTTTACAAAATTGATAAGTAGGATCACCTATCTTTCACTAAGTTCTTGTTAAGCCATGTAGATTATATGGTACTTATGATTCCTACTTTTATGGGATATGAAGTTTAAAGTAATGGAATATTTAGCTTTTTCAATTGTTATTTTGAATGGAGAGTAGCTCCTACTGCAATTGGAATTTTGAAATTTTTACTGAACAAATTGAGTTGAACTTTTGCCAATTTATCTTCTAAGTTAGATCATGTGATCTGAGGTATACAATTTGATTCTTTCGCTTCAATAAAATTTATCTATCCTCGATTTTAATATGGTGAGTATAAGTTGGAGAGTGATTCCTTGGAGTGCTTTACATGCGAGATTGTCTGATTGTTTAGGGTACTTTTTCTTTATTTTGGGATTTTTATTCTTAATCAACCTTTTTTTTGTCATAAAATGATATTTCTTAGCTTAGTGCACTTCGCTTTGGTAAAAAAAGTGATATGTCAAAAATTTGATAGTGGCCAGAAAAGCTTTCTCCTTTATTTTATTTGTTTCCAAATTCTTGTTGAAATTTTGGAATACAATTAGGCTTAGAGATTATTTAAGAAAATGACGAACTAGATTGATTAGAAACTTATGATCTATATATTCTCAACTCTGCTTTGCATGCAAATAAAATGTACATCATATTAATTTGATTAGAAAATCATACCCCTGAGTTATCCTAAAACACCAATGTTTTAAAACTATTACCCTTTTATATCAAAATTTTGGATAACGGGAGTCCTATACAAATATCCCTTATAATTTTTTAAAAGAGTAATGATACAATGCTAGATTTAGCAGATGTTTTGTATCATATAAATCTTACTGGATAAGAACTACTTATTCTTTTCTTTTTTATACCAAGTTCTCTTCACTTTTTTCTTGAAATCTCACCTCTTTTTCTCAAGTTCATACATATTTCAATTAGGCCTTTCAATCCAATAAGAACATGAAGTTTCCCTTTCTTAATTGTGTTTTATCAGCCAGATTTTATGAATTTTTTTCACCAAGGGTTCTTCTCCTCAGTCTCTCTTTCCATCTTCTCCTTTAAGAAGTTATGGGGACTGTAGGCTCATAAAACTCTTCTTTAAAAACAAATTAATTTGTTAACTATTTTGTAATCATTATTTATTCATTTTGTTACGAATTGGCAGGAATGATAGGCTGTTGGTTGAAGCTCTCAGATTGAATGACAGTTTACAAACCCTTCTTTCAAAGCACCATTCTCTAGTTTCCAGATCATCTTCTCCACCAGAAACAGCTCCCACTCCACCATTGCTGAGTCTTCCTCCTCCCACTCCACCATTTCTGAGTCTTCCTCTTCCCACTCCACCAACAAGTAATCAATTAGACAACGAAAAAGAAGAAGAAGATGGCTTTTTTGCTTTAGTTAAAAGGTTTGTTTTTTGTCAACTTCCACACAGGTCATACTCACTTTACAGATACATTCCATTGACTAAACTAACAATTTTTCTATCTTTGCAGGAATTCCATCTCCAAATCAGCTGGTGTTCAAGAGGTTTCACACAGAAGTAATGAACTAAATACTATAAATTCTGCAGAAGATCTTACATCTGTAGCAGACAATGCACTTGTCCTATTTGATTCACCAGCCCCGGTTAGTACTTCCAATAAAGAGGAAAACATGATTGACCTCCTTAGTCTCACTTTATCACCAAACCAAGCTTCTCAAAGACCTCCATTGCCGCCGCCTTCATTGACCCAGAGTCAAAATCCATTCTCTTATTCTCTTGGTTGGGAACACTTTCTTAGCTATCCCCAACCCCTCATGTCAAACGAAAGCTATACTGTCTACAATGATTATGTGGCACCATGGGCTCGACCTACTGCTGTGCAATCACCAGAGATATATAATCTATCTCCTCATCTTCCTTCCTCTTGGAATGCTTCTGAAGGAAGTTCTAATCCTTTTCTATAAACAACATTCAGTTTCTCATTAGTTCAGCTCAGTTATATCCAAAAAAGTTAAGTTAAGATTGTTTTGAAACAGATAGAGACTTCATATGTTCCAGGAACACAAATGTCTGACAAAATTTAAGAACTTGATGGAAATGAGAAATCTAGAAGGAATTGTTCGAGGTTGGGGATAGTGATAGAATTATGCTGCTGCTGCCTGCATGTGTGAATATTATATGTATAGGGTTCTTACTTTTGATTCATGATATTTTGTTTTGGTATGAATTTTTGGCATTTTAATTTGCAAAAACATTTGTAAATGAATTGCTTGCATTCGGCGTTTCTTTGTTTTCGTTTCACTTCTTTGTTGTATATAACTTCATTATGTGAACATACAATAAATGAGATGAATAATTTTGGTTGCAGATATTTTTCATTTTTTTATCCTTCTCCTTAAGTTGTAGAATCTTTCCAATATCAAGAAAAAGATGACGCCCACTTAAAAAAAAAAAAAAGAAGATTTACATGCGTAAGATTCTATTCTTCACACACACACACACACACACACACACACACACACACACACACACACACACACACACACACACACACACACACACACACAATCATGCCCTGTTGGAAGGCACCTTTGGCGTAAGTCCCCTCTACCATAATGACTTTTTAGATGGGATATGAAAGATTTTGGTGGTATAGATGTACAAAAGTTATGTTTGCGTGTTAGATAAGTAAATACATAAGAACTGGGGGGTATGTACGAAAATGCTCCCAAGCTCTCATATGCTGGTGTAAATGTAAACAATGGTTTCTCATATGATGGAAAGGCATGAGACACTGATGTTTGATTACTCAAACCTTCAATGTTAATACTAATTTTTAGTAATCACATGCATATGGGATTTTCTTTTTTTAACAAACGAATTATTAGAATATAAAGAAGACTACAATATTCATAAATAGTAGAAGTACGGCAATCTGGGCGGAGATGGGGCAATGTCATGTGAGAGCGGAGGTTGGAAAAACAAGGCAGAGGATTATGGAAGGCTTGATATCTGTTAATATGAAAAGAGTCATTTAGACTAGAAAAAAAAAAAGATAAACAAAAATATATCAAGAATTGACATAAATTACAATAATATAATATTTAAATTTGTATATTTATTTTACAATTTTCAAATTTAAAATAAGATATATATATATATAATATATATATATATATATATATATATGCGTATGCGCGTTCCATGGGCAGTTCTCTAAAGATCGTAAGTCCCCTAAGGTCATTGATTTGAATCTCTCCGTGTAGGGTGTGATAATCGAATATTTGACACACCTAGGGATGACCGGGGCTCCTTCTTAAATCTATGCACATATATTTATTGAATAAATTAGTATTCATAGAATTTTTATAGCATTTAAAAATTCAAGTAAATTTAAAAATTTTTAGTTCAAAAGAATTCTGTAATATATGTTAGGATTATTTTGATCTACATTTTCATATTATTTAAAGATATTAAATCTGTTTTTATATTAAAAGGAATTCGTTAGATTCATCCAATTCTTTTTTTTTTTGGCAAAAGAGCCTTAATCGGCTCTCATTTTATTCCAAAAAAAACAGAAGTACAAAACCGGGAAAGAGGTCCAAACACACACACCCTACAAACACTAAAAAATAAAAGAAAAATAAGGGCATCTTTCCAAAAAAAGAAAAAATACATCTCGCACACCAAAACAACACAGAAATGACACAAAACAAACAACTTTAGAAATATCTAATATAGCAAAATGAATCAAAACAACAGGAATATCTTTGGAAATCATACTTGAATTCAGATTTAATCGAAGCTTTGTAGCCCAATGAGCTACCATATTTCCTTCTCTCTTAGTATGAGTCCATTTGATTAGTAAATTCTTGGGCAAATCAGTAATTCACTTCATCTGCAAATTAACACAATGATGTTCTTTGTAGCCCAATGATGTTCAACCTGAAATCTACAATACTTCCATAAGATTATAGAGTTAGTTTAAAAAATAATAAGTTCCCACCCAAATTTCTGAGCCACCTGATGACCGAAAACCATGACATCAACTTTAGAAACTAGAGGAGAAACATGAACAACCTTAGCTGAGAACCAACAAAGAATTGATCGCATGGAGTCTCTACACACTCCTCAAACACTAGCACCATTCAACTTCCAGCAACCATCAATATTATTTCTAATATAACGTGCACAAGGTTTACACCAACGCATCAAAGTAACATTCTTATTATATAAGGAAACAAGAATAGACAGATTCTGCAACATAATAGACATCCTACCAGTAAGCTTAATATTATGAGCTCAAAATTTAATTCCTTTCATTAAAAAGGTTATAATCTTACTAGCCGTATAAAGAATATTAGTCTCTCCTTTATTATATTTAACATCATTTCTAGTAAGTCAAACAAACCATAGAAATATAGAAGGAATAGCAGCAAAAAACCATGACCTATATTCCTCCAAGTATTAAAAATATCAGAAATGCTTGTGCACTGAGGAGAAAAATTCAGTAAATGTAATTTCGACTTAACTTGATTCCAAACTTCCACCGTAAACCTACAACTTGAAAATAGACGAAGACTATATTCTTCATGGCTCCTACAAAGGACACAACAAGAAGGAAGTTGTAACCCCTTCAACTTAAGTAAATCATCAGTAGGTAAGAAGTTATGAATAACTCTCCAAATTAAAAAAAAAAAGATATGGAAGGTTTGAGCCATGGATTCCAAATCCATCTTAGATTCAAACCCTGAAAATCCTGAAAAGAGTTAGCAAAGCTTTTAGAAACAGAATCACACATCTTTTCTTTAATCTTAGGTAAATCCTTTCTGTCACTGTTTATAGGAATAAAAGTAATGAAATTAGCATCATCAGAATGAACCATCTATTTAAGATCACTTAAACACCAATGATTCACATTCCAAAGAACTTTAACTTTAGTATCCAGAGCCATAGGACCTCCATAAAAATCAACTAAAGCACCATTCCACATCCAATCATCATACCAAAAAGAGCAATCCCCACTACCAATGTCCCAAAAAATAAGATCATCAGTAATATTGGCAATCTTAAGCATCTCACGCCAAATAAGAGAATCCTTCTTGTTATAAGTAATAGAGAAAGGATGTCTACTGTAAGTATACTTGGCCTGCATTAAAGTAGCCCAAAGAGAACAATTCTTTCTAAATCTAAACCAAAGCTTCATATAATTAATCTTAACAGAATCAATTAAACAATGAAAATCAAGACCTCCCTTCTCTATAGGTTTACAAAGTTTCTTCCATCTGGTCTAGTGAATCTTAGAATCACCTTTACCTTCCCAAAGTAATTTATTACAAAAATTTTTAATCTTTTTATTAATACCCTGAGGAATATCCATAATTTGCAAAATGTATAGAGGAAGAGATGTCAGAATACTTTTGAGAAGAGTTATACGACCACCAAAGAAAAAAAATTATTTTCCCACGATAAAATCATTTTTTTGATTTTATCAAACAAATGTAAACAAAGGTTACTACACTTTCTGCCTTTATTTAAAATAAAACCTAAATAATTCAGAGGCAACATACTTTTATTGCAACCAGTATTGGCAATAGAGACTCTCTTGGAACAATAGAAGAAACATTTAGAAGTATTAAAATTTAAACCAGAGACATTCTAAAAATTAATAAGTTCAGCCCAAACTTTCTTAATGGAAAATTTATGGTCATCAGTAAAAATTATTAGATCATCCACAAAACTTAAATCAGAAATACTTATATGACCTTTATGAATATAATTCACACTAGGATAGTTAGTAAATAAAGCATTTAAACATCTCGACAAATAATCAAAGACAAGAATAAAAAGAATAATTTATACATCTCCTTGTTTAATGCCTTTATAACCTTTGAAAAAACCATATTTTTTCTCATTAATAATGAGAATAATAGTTGTTACTAAGAATACGATAAATAAGATCACAAAAAGAATCATTAAAACCATTAGCATGAAGAATATTAATAATAAAATTCCATCGGATTGTGTCAAATGCTTTCTTAATATCCATTTTGAAAATAATATTCCCTCCTCTACACTCCTTATCAATATCCATAAGGAGTTCTTGAACAATAAGACCAGTATCACTTATCTGTCTGTCTTTTAAAAAAGTAGATTGATTATGACATATAAGTTTATTAAGAATGGGCTGCAATCTCTCAACAATAATTTTAGAAATTATCTTAGACAAAACAGTATTCAGGCTTATGGGTCTAAAAGCATCCCAAGGAGTAGCATTATCAACTTTAGGAATCAAGAAAATATTAGAGGATTTAAAATATTTAAGTAAGTCATGACCTCTGAAAAAATATTGAATAGCCACAACAACATCAGCCTGTATAATATAAACCATGCTTGTAGAATTCAATAGTGAAACCATCAGGTCCAGCAGCTTTGTCAACCTCCATCTGATTAATGATATCCTTAATCTCTGCATTACTAGGAATACAAGTAAGTAAGGAATTATCAATCAAAATAGCATCATTATAAATAGAATTATTTAGTTGAGTCAAAGAGTCCTCATTATTACTAAAGATATTGGAAAAATATTGAACTCCATTCTGAGCAATATCATTGATATTATTGGGCACCGTACCATCAGTGCTAATAATATTAGATATTGTATTAAGTTTTTATCTATTTTTAATACAAGCATGATAATAAGCAATATTTTTGCCCCCATCCAAAAAATGGGTCTTAGCGGCTTTCTGAGCAAAAAAATTGTCCTCCATAGTGATAGTCTCATTTAATTATTGCTGACCATGAATTAAAACATCCCAAGTGATAATACTGTTAGCAAAATCAAATTCAAGAGTTTTAACCTTCTCTTCTAAATTCTCAATGTTGCGGAATAGATTTCCAAAGACTTCCTAATTCCATTTTTTAAGAGCTTTAGCAAAATAATTTTGTAAGCACCATAATCTGTATCCCAAAGACCCAATAACAGTAGTTCTCCAATTATCTTTAAGGAACTAAGTATAGCTGTCATGAAGGGTCCACATATTATAAAATTTAAAATTATATTGTTTCAAATTGGGATTATTCATGATTTTAAGAAGTATAGGTGCATGGTCAGAAGCATTTATAGCTAAATGATGAACTTTATAATGAGAAAAAGTACTAATCCAACTGGGATTAGCAACAAAGCTATCAAGACGTTCAAAAACCTTGCCTCTATGCCAAGTAAAATGATTCTCATGGAAACCCATATCATAAAGCCCTGCATCCAATAGAGTATCATTAAAATCAGCAATAAGATTAAGATTAGGAGGAATTCTACCTTTCTTCTCAAGAGAAAAAGAAATCATATTGAAATCCCCTCCCATAAGCCAAGGTTCATTGATCTGATTAATAGATTTAATCAAACTTGAAAGCTCAATACACGCTTGTTTATTACAACCAACATAAATGATGGATAAGAGAAAAGTATTGTTAAGGTAATGAATACGTAATTGTAATAATTGGTTGTGATTGATAAGAATATCAATACATAAAGGTTCCTTCCACAAGAACCAAATCTTGTTATTGATGTTTGCAAAATAATTGAAAGCAACAATATGCCTGATATAAGCTTCAGTGTTCACAGCAGCCACCATAGGTTCAAGAATAGCTAGAAAAAGTAAATTATAAGAACAAATTAAATTTTTAAGTCTATTAGAAGCACATAATTTTGCAATACCTTTAACATTTCAGATTAAAGTGTCAAACTTCATTAATAACCGTCTTACCCCTGTTTAAACAGAAAGTAGTAGCCATTGAAGGCTTATCAAGATCTTTACTCTGTATTGTAATTGAAAAGCCGCAGGATTAACATAACTCAGTTCACGACAACCTTTAATTTTTATTTTTCTTGATGATCTTTGTACCAGTCAATCCTCTTCCAACTCATTACGAGTAAGAGCAGGGCAATCCATAATATCCGGACAAACATGGAGAACCATATGTCTATCTACTTTCGAATATTCTGGAGTACCAACGTGACTAGTATCTTGAATCATCTCACTGGAATCAATATTTCCATTCTTAGGCAAAACATTTGAAATAATAGAAGAAGAAGGAAGAGTATTCTCTTTAATCACTGTATTATCAACTAACTGAGAAACATTAGTATTATGCTCATCTGTTCTAGGAAGAACATCTAAAGATTGTAAAGAAACCACTCTATCATCTTTATTATGAAGAGAAATCTGAGTGATTTCCAAAGCAGACGTCATCTCATTATCCATTTCTCTAATATTCTTTCTGTTTTTTACACAATTCAGGATGGGCGTTATAACAATGAGAAAGAATATGCTCAAACATTTTGCAGTTAATAAAATAATGTGGAACAAATTCTTGCTCAACTTTCTGCCATCAACCATCAATCCAGTTCCCTATCCAAATAGAATCATGAAAAATCGAAGTAACATCACGTACAACTAAAATGCTAGCTATTGATGGTCTAGACAAATTACTAGTTGCAACATCCATTTTCAATGGTTTGCCAAAAATTGATCCTAAGAAGTAAAGAACTTTCAGATTAAAGAAATGAAGTTTCAATCCAGGAAAGCGTATCCAGACAGGCACAATAGGGACATCTTCAGTAGGATTGAAATTAGGGGTCAATTTAAGAAGTTTCAAGTAACACTTCTCTATGGTCAAAATTTTTTTAGCAAAAAGAGATGTATAATCCTCCCCAAGTTGTAACTTTATCATTAAATTGCGATTATCGATTAACCCAAAATTCCATCATCCAACTAAATGCAAATCAAAGAATTACTTTCGAATTACCTCTACCTTGGGATGAGTAAAAGAAAATTTATCAATTAAAGTATATTTTAAAGGCTCGATGAGAACGTCTGGCTTCTTCAGAAAAAAGAAGTGCAGATTTACCATTCTTTCGAGAGGCTTGTTGAAGCAAGCCTCCATTTTCACTTGCATTAAGCTGATATTGAAAATCCTCACAGAAACGAACTTCTCTAGATCCAATGGGTCTATCAGAAACCACATATTTTAAGGACGGTGCAACCAAAGCCATGAGAAAGAGCTGGAAAGAGAAAAACCAACCAAACACTCTTAAGAATGGGAACCCTGGTTAGGAAAAACCGAGAAAACAAGAATCGCTCCAAGTTACTCCAAGAAGTGCATCTTATTATCTTAATAAGGTTGTTTGAGTCAATTTTTTTACAAAAGTTTATAAAAATATTATAATATTTATAGAAAAAAAAAACAGAATTATTTTTAATTTTAAGAAAACAGTTAATATTTTGTCGAAAAACTACCATATATTTCTTGGGAAAAAATTAGTTATTTTAATTAAAATTTTATTATTTTTAATATTTGTAGGTGAAAACTCATGATGCGTCTATTTATTTATTTTTATTTTTTTATTTTTTTTTGCTTTTTATATCTAGATTATTTATTAGGTTTTTATCTTTTTTACTTTTTAGATCTAGATTATTTAATTTTTTGAAAGGTCGGTCAGTGAATTACAGTTTAATTTAGTTGTCGAATATAATGTAAATCTGTCTTTATTATTTGGACTTTGGTCTGATTTCATTAAGCTGCAATTGAGTGCTTGGAATATGAGAAAGTTGTCAAATTCATTAAGAGATGCTAACTATTGCAATTGATTAAAGAATGACCCAAAAAAAAAAAGACTTAATTTACTTTTTTTTTTTCCATAACCATTCCGATCCCATGCAAGTGACGTACTAAAACCATTTGAATTGTATAACATTAACAATAAAAAATGAAGCAAAACAATTAGACTCGAGTCACTAGATGGGGGGAACTCAACTTCGGAAATTCCAAATCTTGAGCTTTTACATACATTGCATCTAAAACTTCTATATTCATCTATCTCTAATTAAAATTTTCATAATTACAAATATCATATAAAAGGTAACACTAATCATCGCATTTTAATAGCTCAATCCATCTTTTTATTCATAAGTATTGTGTAAAAATAAAACGATGGATGCGAGAGATAAATCCATAAGAATTGAGTGCTGTGTATGTAATTTTTCCTTCAATCTAACCACTGATCGAGAGCTATAACATAATACTCGGCTGTATGGAGAAAAAGAATAAAAAGGCAGAAGCCCGAAAACATTATTTTGAACATTGGAATCAAAGCGCAAACCATCTCCCATAAAGGCCATCATAATTCATAATAATAAGAAAATAACACTTACAAATTGAACAAAGTGGGGGAAAAAAAAAATTAGATAATACAACAAAAGAATATGTACAAGCTATTACTACCTAAGTATCCTTATTTTTTTGAGCGCCTCCGATGGCAACGCAGGATGCCATAAAAGCTTCAACGACATGCTACTTCTGCGGCGGAGGCTAATGAATATTGTTAAGATTCACATTCCAAAATCCACGACTGATGGATCCAAAAAAACAACATCCGCCAAATCAACAGATGTTTCAATTACTGTGAAATCTGCACGCAGCTGCGCCCGTAAGATCGAAATATCGACATCGGCCGAGTCGAGCGGATAGGCAGAAACACTGATTGAAATTTTATCTCGCTTGATAGTTGTCATCGGCATGGATGGATACACAGGCATCAGCCGCTCCGGCGGCTAAGAGGACCTTATAAGGGTGGAAGGCGAGGCAACTGACAGAACCAATTCTTTGAGCCATGAGAGTGGGGTAATATCTGATGATACTCAGTTGCTCTCCCTCTAGGCTGAATACCTTGACAATCTGCTTTGCGGATCCACTGGCGATAACAGGGGCATGGCGGTGAATAGCCAAGGCAGTCAAAGAACCTCTATGGGCGTCTATTGTGAGGTATGCTTCGGAGTGGTTTCGAATGTCCAAAAACTGAATATCGCCCGCTTGAGATGCACTGACAATCTGCAGTGATGACATATAGCAAGGGTTACAAAAAAAAATAAAAGCATGGTTTACATACGTAGTACCACTCAAGTTCTAACACCTAAACTTTAATTTTTGGGTACAAGCCACCTTAACTGTGGATGAAAAGGAGCATTTCACTTTTACAAACGAAAATGGTGGTATTCTTCACGTGATATGAAAGATTTGGGTGGCATAAATATAAAAAAGTAAAGTTAGGTATTAGATATGTAAAAACATAAGAATTGGATGGTATGTACGTAAATGCCTCAAAATAAAAAACTCAAGAATTTCTACAACTAGAACAATATATAAAATATTCCAATACATGTTGGTCAGAGAACAAATGAATAGTTAAAAAAGAAAACGTCAGTGTTTGAATACATAAAAAAGTAAAAGTAAAACTTTAAGAAGCATGATTGAGCTATGCCAGAAGCTAAATTCTGGCAATATATTTCAAATGATCATGCAATGGAGAAGATATGAAAACACAATATAATGGCAGAAAAAATCACATAATCAAGAATGAGTCTAGTTTGTGAGCAAACTAAGCTCATTGAATTCGCCATATAGTTTAATGATTGTTCCAACACATTCATTTCTCTTTAACTGCCTCGATATTTCTTAAGCATCATACAACAGAGTTTCATTAGTCTTTTTCCAGGAACGACTTCGCCAAGTCTACTTTAATTCAAATAATTGATGATATCATTATGACAGTCTTTCTTAATTATCTTTTTCATCTTTGCAGTTGTATTTTGAGACAAATAGTAGAGAAGCCCATATGAAAGAGTTCCAGGAAGTGTGAAACTTGCAATTGGACTGGACCATGAGTAGAGGATTGAGATTGTAATTTTCCAAAGAAAAAAAAAATTTCCGGAGTAAATCGGCATTACAAAACGCTGGGATCAGAGAGAGGAATATAAAAGAGGAAAGAAAACAATGGAGACGAAATATTTTTAAATTTCATTCCTAATGCAATCATAATTCCAATGACACATTCAACACTTTATTAAAAAAAAAGGACACAGTACGTTAAATAGAAGGAAGATTTACAAAGACACCACTTAATTCCCCTATGTATTTACATCTCTAAAACCTATAATTCAATTTTTACATATATGACAGTTTGCCCATGTATGGAAAGGTGTATTTCACATTTTAAAAGTTAAACTAGTGAAGATTTGGGTGGTATAAATGTCTAAAATAAAATTTTGGAGATAGACATGTAAATACATAGGAATTGGGTGTAATGCATGTAAATGCCCCTAAATAAAAATTGAAGTATTTATCATAAAATAATCCAAAATACTAGAATATCCAAACCTTAATATAGAAGTATTTCTCAAAGTATTGCATTAGGAAGTGTTCCCACTTCCTGGCTCAAAATATGAAGTCAAAACATTATCAACCGCAAAAGAAAAAACGGCAAATGAAGCTTTATACAGGACAAAAAGCAGAAGATTTAGTTGAAAGAAGGACAAAGCAGTAAATAAAATTTCTTGTAAATATTTTCGCCTGCCACCAAAAAATATCCAGACAGCAATCATAAAGGGATTATAGGGTTGTGCAACAGAAGCCAAGACAAAATACGAAGTTGAAAAGACAAAGAAAAAAGATTAAAAAAAAAAAGCAAATTGGATAAATAGTACCTTAGTTGGATCAAGCCCGGGTTGAAATCCAATCCCAACAACTTTCTCCACTTTTTGACTATGCAGTTTTGTTGCACAAACAGGCCTAAAGAAGACATTCGAATAACGCATTAATGGTACAAAAAAACAATTAATTATAGAAATATTTAAATACATATAACGCAATTTCTAAAAAAAAATTAACACATTTTCTATGCATTTACACATATAGCACCTAAACTTTAATTTTTATATCTATATCAATTTACCTTTATTTTAAAATATGAATATCACTTCTACTAGTAAGTGTTATTTTTGACTAAATATGAATAATTTGAGTGTAATAAACATAAAAATTTAAATTTTGATGTTGGATATATAAATACAGAGAATTTATGTGGAATGCACGTAAATGTCCCTAAATTATCATGCATGTCATAATTTTAAAAAATAACTAAAACAGTAATAGGTTTCAAAAACAACCTTCAGTTATGATACATTAAACTTACATGTCAGGGTTTCTAACATCAAATATCCTAACTGAACCGTCGACAAAACCTGCCACAACTTGACGTCCATGAACTTGGGAAGCAGCCTGTCAAAGCACAAAATTATATAAAATGAGAATCCTAGGCAACAATATCACAAGAAAAAAAGTAAACCATCCAAGAAATATCCTATAAAAATTTAAAAATAAAATAAAATAAAATAAACACAGCTCAAACTAAAAGATATATCAAATTATTTAATAGTTTATCCTTAAAAAAGAAAAAATATATATGTTACAAATCAACCAAGCTATCTTGTTTCTAATCTGTAGTTCATTCTTACTGCTATTTTCTGCAGTATATCAGAAGCTTCCCGTGCAATGATAAAAAGGAGGGGGCGTTTACATAGATACCACCCAATATTTATTTACATATCTGACACCTAAAGTTTACTTCTTACAATTATACCATCCAAATCTTTCATATCATATAAAAAATACCACCATTTGAACTTGTAAAAAGTGAAATGCACCTTTTCATACAAAGGGACATTAACATACATACCACCCAATTCCTATGCATTACATATCTAACGCCTAAACTTTACTTCTTACAATTATACCACCCAAATCTTTCATATCACATAAAAAATACCACAATTTGAACTTCTAAAAAGTGAAATGCACCTTTTCATACAAAGGAAGCTGGCATGTATGTAAAAATTGAAGTTTAGGAGTTAGATATGTAAATACATAAGAATTGAGTGGTATGTATATGTAAATCTCCCAAATTAGAAATAGAACTCGAAAGAAAAAAAAACACACATGACAATAGATTTTATTTGTCATTCAAGAGGACTTATGTAGAAACAAATGAAGCACATTGCAGAATGTTTAAATCTACCTCATCAAGACAGAAGTGCATTGTCTAGACAGCTATAAATTATTTGCATGCACCAACATGAATGAATGACGGGATTTGTGAAAAATAAACTATAAATTAAGCGGATAGGTGGGAGATTGAAAGGTAAAAAGAGGCAGGGAAAGATCCAGTTACCAACTATTGTAAGCAATTCCAAATTAAAAAAAATGCACGGAAAGCTCAAGGTAGTATTAAGGGAAACATGAAAATGGCAATCCAGCTAACTATGCTATCATTACTATGATGCGGTTAATTTATAAAGTTCTATGAGGTGTGAATTTACATCGAATGCTAATTAACTCTAGACTACAGATATTACAGAAGGCTGCATGGGTTCATGGTTGAGAAAGAGAGAGCTGGGTTGCTATAAATGAGAAGCAGCAAGGTAGATTAAAGATGTGATGATCATAGAGGAAAAAGGAGGCTTATGCTCTCAGTTATCAAGATGACTTTGATGAAGAAAAAGTTATCTTGTAAACCCATAAATCCTGGAGATCTGGCTGAAACTTGCTCAGGCATCAAACTAAATACATTCAATCATTCATGTTCTAAAATCACAAAAATAAATAAATAAATTGAAGAGAAATATAGGTCATCCATACTAAGGTTCTCATACTGTAATTAACTTGTATAAATTTGGTAAAAGTCTTACTAGTGCAGATATACTGCTGTCTGATGAAGATGAAATGGAACTAATATTTTGCTCCTTGTCAAGGTCCCAAAGCAAGATGGAAGATATATCACTAGCAGCATACTGAGAAGAGAGAAAATGATTACAGATTAGAAATTTAAGTGCATTAAGGAAGCAAGAAAATAAATGAGAATAATGAAGGGCACAAAAAATTCAATAAAATCAAAAGATGGAAGAAGTGCTACCAAATAACCAGATTGTTGCTGCCAGTCAACAACAGCATTTGAAGCCCGAATGCCTGGTCTAAGACTTTGAATAGAAGAGAATGCTGTCACAAGCTTTTGTTTGCCCTTCAGAGAGTAATCTCTCCATATTCGAATATTCCCTTCACCTACATAATACAAGGTAAAACATCATCTTAAAGCCAAATATACAACGACAAGTGTTGACCATCATACCTAATCCACAAAATAAGTCGATTGGGCGTGACAAAACTGATGAATGATGAATGCAAGATTGGGCGATAAAACATAAAATGCCTCGATAATGCTCGAAAACACTTGAAACATCATCGAATTGTGAAAACGATTGTACGAGTACGTTCAAGGCATCAAAATTGCTTTAGGAAGTGTCTATTACAAGGGAAAAGAGTGAACATGATGAAAACGATATGTTGACGGCGCGACGCACGTAACTCAAAACAAAATCATCTCGATATCACCACAATTACTCAAACGAGCTCCGATCGCAAAACAGACTGAGTGAATGTGTTTGATTCATCGACTTTGCTTAGAAATGACACCCATATTGTCAACTTTTTGTACATTAGTTGGGGGCATACAAAACGGAATACTTACAATTAAAAATAAATAATTTAATGTAAACCTTTCCACAGCAAGCCACCAAATCATACTTCATCTTCCCAAGACATTCCCTGCTACCCATATCGTGCTCCATCTAATAGCACAGTACAAAACAAAATATTTTATTAAAAAAAGTAAAGAAGCCTTATCTCCATTTCTAGCACGCTAGCTGAACGATAGCTGCTCCAACAGCCTATTCCCTCTTCAACTCTCCCCCAACCATACGCATATCCTTCCTTTCTCCTGTTCATGCAAAAAACCCCTCTCCGACCACCTCCCGACAAACCGCCTTCAACTCCTCTTGCCAAAGCCACACTACAGCCTCTGCCATTCTCCCACTCTGCGCGAAATCACTCTAGCTCGACAGCTCCACAGTGAGCTCCCGACCTCCCTCTATCACGAGTCCTGAATCACTTCCCCACTCAACGACCTCTCTTCATGCAAACAGTCCACTTACTTCACCAACAGTCCTGAACACCCAGCCAACTACCCTTCTACTTTGCTTTTCCTCCTATCCGAATGCAGCAGCAAGCAAAACCCAGCTCACCTCACCTCCTTTCCTCTCCTAAACTTCTCTCTCTTACTAATTTTTTTCTTTCTTTTTTTTTTTTTGGACTCAAACAACCTCTCCCCTTGTCACTCCACTTCTTTGAACTGCATATCCAGCGCCTACTTTCTTCTGTTATCTCAATTCCAGGCCTAAGCTCAAGCCACCGAAGTTGCCCTCTCTTCTGCTGACAGAAACTCCACCCATCACCTCCCCTTGATGCTAGAGGTTGAAGTTCCCCAACTTCCATCCAAAAGAGCTCATGTAGCTCTCAGGAAGCCTAAAGTCTGCTCGTTGCGAGTCCAGGTCTCACAAAACTGAAATCTGTAAGGGAACCTAACGGCTACCCTCTCTCCGACAACCCTCCCAACAAACCACCTTCAACTCCTCTTGCCGAACCCATGCTACAGCCTCTGCCGTTCTCCCTCTCTGAGTGAAATCACTCCAGCTAAAAAACTCCACAGTGAGCTCCCTACCTCCTCTCACGAGTCCCTAGACGTTTCACCACTCGATCACCTCTTTTCATGCAAACAGTCCACTTACTTCACCAACAGTCCTGAACACCCAGCCAACTACCCTTCTACTTTGCTTTTCCTCCTACCTGAATGCAGCAGCAAGTGAAACCCAGCTCACCTCACCTCCTTTCCTCTCCCGAACTTCCTCTCTCTTACTAATTTATTTTCTTTTTTTTTTTGGACTCAAACAACCTCTCCCCCTTGTCACTCCACTTCTTTGAACAGCACCTACTTTCTTCTGTTATCTCAATTCCAGGCCTAAGCTCAAGCCACCTAAGCTGCCCTCTCTTCTGCTGACAGAAACTACACCCATCACCTCCCCTTGATGATAGAGGTTGAAGTTCCCCAACTTCCATCCAAAAGGGCTAATGTAGCTCTCAGGAAGCCTACAGTCTGCTCGCTGCGAGTCCAGGTTTCACATAACTGAGATCTGTAAGCAGACTTGACGGCTACACCCTCTCCTCAGGAAGCAGCCAACACCAGTCGCTCCTGCTCAAAATCTGCAGCCAAAACAGTAACTTTGCTTTGGTTCTCAAGGTAAAAGAATGAATTTAAGCATTTATATGGATTCAAACTGTTACGGTCTTTAGTTGGCCAAATTTCAGTTAAAATTTTGCTTAGAAATGTATATGTGTGTGCATGTATGCATATGCTTGTAGAGTGAGAGAAGGGAAGAGAATATATATGTCTGTCTACATATGTAAATGATTGAAATACGGAGAAAGGGAGAGCAAATTTTATTGAGGGATTCGTGGAGGTTTACTATCCCACCATAGTTGATCAACACAAGAGTATGAAGTGATTGCAATGTGTTTGGTGTGACAAATGGAACTCGTACACACTTTTCTTAATGTGATAAAAGAAACTCATAGATGACATTCGAGGTGCGATCCACTTTTGTTACGTGTTCGACATAATGAGTGGAGCTCATGCACGCTTTTCTAAGTATAGTGAGAGAGCTCCTATGTGATGCTCGTGATGCAAACCCTTTTCACGACGTGTTTAGTGTGACGAGCGAAACTCGTGCATGCTTTTCTCAGCAAGGCAAGAGAAACTCTACCCCTTTTTGTAACGTGTTTGACATGATGATTTAAACTACACGTTGTTCTTAGGACGACTAGAAAAACTCGTATGTGACGCTCATGATGCAATGGGAAAATACTTGTGTTGTAAAGTTTGACTACGAGCACTCCAAGCATGGCTTTCTTGGTGTGGTGGGTTTCAAATATTTCGGTTGCAATGTCTCACGAAACCAACCATGCACGACTATCTTGGCATGGTGGGTAGGCTTAATCTCCTGATGCTACCACAGTAGACGACATCGAAAGGCTGTCAAAATTTTAACTGTCGAAGACTTTAAATAAAGCTTAAGTTAAACTTAAATAATGATTTAAATGTGTCTAAACATAACCTAAATTAAGTCTGATCAAAATTTTAGAAAATTGAACAAATAAAAGAACTAACCAAAGAAAAGAACATAAAAATTCAAATGTTAAAAGAGCTTACTTGCAAGACTCAAAACTCTAACCACGCAAAGTAGGCAAAATCTACTTACTCTTCAAAAAAACCACAGGGCGTGAATGAAAGTCATACGGCCCCTCCTTTTATACAAGAAAAAAAGGCCATATGTGAACTCCTTTGATTAAGAAAACCACATGCAAATAAATTTTGTCACCCAAATTAAATGCAAATTAAGCCAAAATTTGATTCCCAAAACTTTAATATATATAATTTCAAACATCACCACCGGATTTGCAGCCTCAACGAAGAAAAGGCGCGTTGAAAGTTTTAAGGTGAAAATATCTGCATAAATCTTAATGACAACACAAACTTAATAATAATGTCTCCTAAAAGTCAATCTGAGCTGACAAACAGAATAGTCTCGCATATGCTCCAACCAGTATGTTAAATGTGTATACATGTTATTTAATAATGTTGTGTGAGCAATGGGCCACCTTATCTATAGGTTAAAGTCGTAAGTTCGACTTGGACCAATTTGATCCTTCTTCTTACAAGGACTATAGTTAACAAGATTGAGCCTCCATTGAGCTAGTTTGATCCTACTCTTAATTAGGACAGTTGTTGACCTAATATGTTAGTCTGATCCTCATCACAAGAACTGGAGTCGAGACATTACTAATATTTTTAATGATATTTAAACAATAGTTTTACATCGATGATGGACATATTCATTGCACATCTTAACTAGAGGGGGTCTATTTATAAAAATCAAATTTTTAAATCATAAAATTTATGAAATAATAAAATAACATTCTATCACTTAACGCTTAAAATAAAATCCATCCAAACTCCACAATTGTTTGTTAGGGTGGAAAAATTTAACATTGAGTCGAGCTCACAAAGAGTTGATGACATATCAATTATACGACTAAATTCATACTGAAAATAATTTCATTTCATTAAGAATGAGACCTAAATTTTTTGTTCTCATAATTTGGTTAGTAGGCTCTACTGTAAAATAGTCACGACTACAGCTTGTATGTTCTTAGTATACTTGATATGGCATAAAACTCTGTGTAAGCTAAGATCGACTAAGATTAATCCCCATAGATGAACATTCACCCAAGATCTACAATATTCCCTTGAACGAAACAACTCATGGTTACTAACAAGAATCTTTTTGTCAGGTTGGTTCAAAACTCCTCTGACTAAATAGAACAGAGACCATGACAATCCAGGATTGCGAAACCATAGAATCTTGATAGGGTTCGTCATCATTTCCCACACCATCTACTTTTAAGCTAACAAAGTTAATTTTATAACTCAAAATTTTAAATTTATTACTACTACATGCTAAGCTTGAGTACTTAGCACCTAATGCATTGTCGTAATCGAAAGAAATCACCCGTTATTAGTAGGGTAACATAGGGGCTTGCACTTATGGAAAACCTCCCAACTCTTAAAGTCCTCGCAAGATGAAGATGAAATCTCTAGGTAGTATATTATTTAACCATCTCATTTGCCTTCTGAAAATTTGACCCAAAACTTAACACTTAAGCTCTGGTCAAAAGTCCGGGGCTATTCAAAATTTCAGAGCCCACACGAAGATTCAAAAGGTTAACAATCCACAATTATTAAAAATTGCATGAAAAAAATAATACTTACTCGAAGCAACTAGAAGCAGGCTATCATCGAGTTCATTCACAAGGCAAAGTTTTGAAACCCCAATATCGGATGAATCATGGTTGTCAAAGCTGTTTAATGGTGTCGCTTCTTCATAGTTCCACACCCTAAAATATCATATTAATGGTTAGCAGACAATGTAAACATTTATAACAAAATTTGATAAAAAAAATAAGCTCATGACATATGATTTTTACAAATGCATAAATCATTGGGGTTATGTAGATTTTCTCAAGCCTAGCTCCTGAGCTGATTGTAAATTGGCTACAAGCAATATAAAAAGAATACTCTAAAATTAAAAGAGATTGCGAGGAAATCACATGACATATCACAACAGTCTTACATTCAACATACCAAAAAAACACAAAATAACAAAAAAAAGTTTGCCGATTATAAGATATAGCTATTTTCAGAATTCATCTAATAAAATAATAACAAGGAATTGTCCTTCATAGTCTGAGAAAACTAGTTCATCAATACATTTAAAAAATAACAAAAAGAGAAACACATTTGCTTTGGCTGCCCTACTTTCACGGCAATCTAAACTTGCAATAGCTTGCTTGCTTATAACCAATTAACCAAATTTACTCGATCAATCCTACAATTGGTCACCCTTCCATTGTCCGGAACAAAATACTATACAACATCTAGCATAACGACTTTCGATTTACAGGTCAACCAACAAAACCACAAATAAGTTTGTATCATATCATTTCATCTATGTGATTATGTCACGAATCCACTCATCCCTTCATCCACAACAGGATTTCAATTATCAAAAATGTGCATTAATTCATCATCAAAGTCACAATTGCCATGGAATCCTATCCATATAGCCTCTTATTCAAACAATTGACATCTTCATTAAATGGCAGGGGAACTTTTTCACAACAGAAGAGCAATGAATATTACAAGTCCACAGCATCACTGGCATGAACCTTGTGTGGGTAATTACTGAAAAATCCTCAACAAATAAAGGCGCATCACACAAAAGATTCATCATTTCAACCCTTCTGTTAATATAACCATTACTAGGATATAAAATGTCCTATTTTATCAAATTTTCATGCCGAAAAAACTCTCATAGCCCTCATTTGCTTCACCTCTCTCCCCCCCAACCTCCCACCCTTGCCCTGCTTAGTGTGCGTGTGAACGCGTTTGGAAATCAATTTTTTGCGCATGGAAGAAAAAAAACAATGGACAAAAATGCTGCTGGGCTAGCAGGTACCACTGAACGGGAAAACTGCTGAAAAATAGCCCAAGACAAAGAAACATTTGACAAACTGAGGGGTGCTGTCAGAGGCTACAAGACTAAAAGCAGCATGCACGGCCTGGTTACAAAATACTAGCAATTTATTGTTTCAAACAGGCACTTAGCTGAACATTGCTTGAGAATCGCTGGAAATCATAATACTATTTTATAAAATTCAATCTTACCTTCTTTGGCGTAGGATGCTTCTGTTAAAATAGATGAAAAATTTGCAACAAAAACAAAACAAAATTATTGAACACTTGAAGGCCAATTGGGATTGGGATCACTTTTAATTTTTGTTTTTAGTTAGTTTTTTTTATGTTTTGATTTAAAAAAAACATGATATAACATGTTGAAATATTTTCAAAAACACGAAAAACAACATTGTCAATGTTTTTAAAAATAAGTTAATTTTTTATAAAAAAAAATAAAACATGCAAAAAAAAAAGAACTAAACAAATATTTTTAAAAAAGTAAAAGCAAAAACAAACACAAAAATTAAAAACCAAATGATCCCAAACAAGCCCTTAATAAACAAAAAATGAACTCTAACAAGACCAATAATTTAATTCAGAGCGAATCAGCAAATTAGTAAGGCACTAAGACCAAAATGAACAGATTTTTAAACCATGAACCACAAAGAAGTAATCCTATATCTTAGAGAACTGTGTATAATTTGTTTTGTCTCATTAATTCATTTAAAGGGCTTCAAGGTGTAAACATAAATTCCATCACCCATCCGATATTAAACCATATACTTCACATACGAAACCTTATGCTCACTAATCCTAACGTTAATGCAGAAACCAATACCACATACAAGACGCTTCGTATGGTATAGGTTTGCCAGGTCTTATGAAATTATTTATGGCATTTGATATACAGAGATAACCAAAAAGAGTTTTTTAAATCTTATTTTTTCCTAATAAAAACATCATCTTTGTGTATATAATTCAAGAAATACAACTCCCGCATCCATTAGGAAAACAGAGCCTCTAAAGTAAACTTATTCTCAAATAAAATCATAAGAGACCGAGAAGGCTAAATAGTGACATGACAGATAATTTGTGAATGTACCGGAGCAAACCATAAACACTATCAGTGGTAGGATAATACCTCTTCCTAACAGCAACAAAAACTAAAATAAAATGTTCAGGATAAGTGTAAAAAAACACAAGAAAAATGAATAAACATAGAAATCAGCATCTCATTCTACAAGAAATTAAGGTTCCAATGCTTCAATACCTAATCCTCTCATTCTCATCTGCAGCAACAACAATTGGAGAAAATGGCAGAAGTAAGGTGGCCTTTGTGCCAGCCTCAAACCTGGTATCCCAGCTGGCAATTTGATTGTTAAGCTTAGTAACAGCTGAAATAATATAATAAACAAAAAGAAACTTGGTCAGATGAAAAGGAAAAACAAATAAATTAAACATTAAATCAACTAACAAAAAACCATACACAAATGCTGGCATTTAGCTATGCCATCCAGTGCAATTTTCTCCCTTTGCTCTCTTCTAGCAATGACATCCGCATTGTCATCAGAAGCGCTAAGAAGAGGCCGTGAAAAATGTCCACAACTCCAGTTATAAATAGAAGATTGAGGAAGTAAACTACGCTCAGAATTCCCAGATCCTGTAGAACCTAACAGAGGATCAGCCAGCCCTGTGTCTTGGGAACCCAGTTGGTGTGGCCTAAATTCTAAAGAGTATACTCGCCTCAATCCAGTGAGGTAACTTGGCCTAGGAGGACTAACAGGAGGTGTTCTAAAAGTCATTGGCAAATGACCTACATGGATAACATATAACATTCTTAAATAACATTCTTAGATATATTCTCAAAAGTTATGCACATTGATGATGAATATTTATAAGGCATCAAAATGAATTACCAGCATGCATATCAAACCAGGAAGATGAACGAGCCAAACCAAAGGTAGAAGATGTAGATTGACCGGGTAAATCGCCTTGAACATTTCCGGTACTATGTTTTCCTCCTTTTGAAACCACATGCTCAATTCCAATAATCGCAAGTGCTCTTCTTCCCAGAGTAGCAATTCGGGGGGATGGATCTTTTGCCAAAGCAGACATGGCCACAACACATTGGGAGTAAATGGCACCATCTAGAGGTCTTGGTCTGAAATGATTAACGACTCCATTAGTGGATGTTTCCTTTAGTAATATGCCAGAATCAGAATGCTGAGACGATTCATCTGAGACAGGAGAACCATGCATAATCCCTGTCGAAGCGATGGGACTGCTCGTTGAGATCCTTCTGTCTCGAGTACTAGCCATGCTGTCACTTCCAACTCTTAGCACAGGGACATTTTGTGAAGAAAGCGAACCTCCCTGCTGCATATATTGGTTTGGGTTTGTACAGACACCACTGGAACTGCTAATGTTTGCAAGGGATGGCAATGAACTCAGGACTGAGTTTTGTGGCTTCCAATATGCAGCAGCAATCGACTTCAGGTGCTTGTTGTGGCCAAAGCCAAAACGAGCAAGTGCTGACAGATGAAAAATACCAGACTATCATTGAACATGAGAGAAAAATAAAAATGCAAGATGTCATAAAACTAGAGAAAATTATATAATGATACAAGCAGATAAAAAATATAACAAATCTGAGTAATGAAGACATCACGACACCTAAGGGTCCATTTGGGATCACTTTTGTTTTTTTTATTTTCTAATTTTTGTTTTTATTTTGTTTTGTTCATGTTTTGATTTGAAACAAAACATGTTTTGTATGTTTGTTTAAAATATGATTGTTTTTTAAAACACTCAAAACATCTAAAAGTAGTTTTGTGTGTTTCCAAAAACAAATTTATTTATTTTTAAAAAATGAAAATAAAAAGATACTAAAAAAACACGTCAAACAAACATGTTTTTAAAAACAAAAGAATAAAACCAAAAAAACAAAATTGATCCAAAACAAGTCCCATTTGGCATCCCTTTCAGTTTTATTTTGTTTTTATTCGTGCTTTTATTTTTGAAAAAAAGTTTGGTTAGTATAATTTTTTCATGTGTTTTAGTATTTTGTTTAAAAAAAATCCCTTTGTTCTTAAAAATACTCAAAACAACTAGAAAGCATTTTAAGGATTTTTAAAAATAATTACCACAATTAAATGTGTTTTAACTCAAATCAAAACATAAAAAAAACAAAATAAAAAGAAAAAATAGAAAACAAGGGCCTTAAGTAAATCATTTCAACACAAACTCAGCTCAACGTGTTATGAGAAACTAGAACAAAGCAAGGAAATTAACTTGATTGTCCTATCTCCCTCGCTCTCAAAATTAAACACTAAGAATGGATATAATATTTAATGCCCTCCAACCCTCAATCCTGTGTTCCACTCATGATTCTGATCAATGATCACAAATAAGGAATAACACTACAAAGAAACTATGTGAAAGCTAAATTAAATTAGTGGCAAGACACAAGGAATGAGTATTGAGTAGGTTGCACCCGCTGTGACCAAGGTTACAGTTTCAAATCATGAAACTCAACTCTCCACAATGCAGAATGCATGACGTACTAAGATCACTCTGAAACCAAAACTAAAGGAATATGATAAGTTTAATACCATATGATTGCCAAAATGCTGAATTTATGTTGGCCCTTTGTACCATAGTCTATGGCTTGAAACAATTATTTTTTTCGCAAATTTGCGCCTGAATAATTTCATGGCTTTTTGAAGTCACCGTTAAGGGAGAGTCGAGCGGATTAGGCTTGCCAAAGGAGAATCTTAGAGAGATAATATGGGTAGGAATTTATGTTTCGAGAAGAAAGCAAAAAAGAAATTCAATCAATCTAGTATTTTGCGAAAGAGAAAATTTGAGATTCATTGGGACTTAAATCCAAATAGAGGAAGCGAGTTTACTGTGGGGAAGACGGATTTCCACTTTTGCAAATCAAGTAGTAAAAGAAAGGGAATCAAAAAAAAAAAGGAATTTAATACCAAATTACAATTCATAATAGATGAATATTCACAATGAATTCATTCCCTTCTAATAAAAACTTAGTTAGTGACAATTCAAACATATTCAAAGTTAAGTATATGTAAATCATAACAAACGAACATATCAAATCATCTAAACAAAATATAAGATAATCCTAATAATAAAGATAATTTATAAAATGATAGAAATATATAAAATAACTAAAGGAAACTAAATGTAGTTCTATCCATGCCTTTAGAAACATCAATTCCCGTAAGGCCAAAAAAATTTTTCTGTACAAGTCATGGGAACATATAATTTCTTGTTTAGCGTCTACAGAGCTAGAAGTGAAATTAGTTCATATGTCTTAAATCATCAACATATGCAATCTAAAAATATGAAATGGGTTTGAGAGGCATTGAATGTTGCTAACCATCATACGAGTTTGTTTTATCAATGCCATGGAAGAGGTTCACAAATTCATTGTTGTAGAAGTAAATGCAGCACAAACTCAAGCTATGTTAACCAAAAAGAAAAATTGGAATTTTGGAGCATCTTAAATATCTAGTGATGAATCATAATAATAAATAAAATATGGATCAACATGGAGCAACGTTAGAGTATTTTTAATAAAAATTTTAAAAGAAGGCAGGTCTAGCTAATGCCCAATAATTGAAGTGTTACCTCTTATTTAAGTAGTAAAAAAATTTCTCTTTGCTGATAAAATTTGGACTAGCTTCCACATTAAATTAATATTAATAATTTTTTTTCTTATTGAAGATAGCAGAGAGTATATATTGTGTATTTTTTATATAGTGCATGTTACTGATACCTAAAGTTTTCAACGCCTAATATCATCATCATCAACTAATAACTTTACATGGTGCTGCTTAAAATTTGTAAAGATCATTAAAAAATATATCTATCTGATGTTATGTCCTAATATCTGTGAAAATCACAATTATTCTATTTGATGCCAAATCTCATGTTTAGTTTGGTGCTTTGAGGTTGCTAAAAAGCTAAGAACCTCCTCAATTATCATAGAGACGAGCAAGTTGTTATGGACATACTCTGTCTGATACCGAAGTTAGCCCAAACCATAATGAAAATGCGAATGTTATTGCAAAAATTCAAAACGGTTACAAAAAAAGACTCTTGACATTAGGAAAATAATGAAACAAACATAAAAGACACCCGAGAGCGATGGCGAAGGTGATGGATGGAAGCTGGGCAGCAGGTAGAGGGGTTGGTTGGGGGTAGTGGGGGGTAGCTGGATACTTGGAATGGCGTGGTTGCAACAGTGGAAGGCAGGGAGGAGGGGCAGCAGTGACAGGACAACAGAGAAGAGGGAAGCTGCAGCTGGCTGGGAGGCTGGCGACAGCAGGATAGGAGGGAGGGAAGGTCTTGTCGCAGCAAGTAGGAGTAGCGGCAGAAGCAAGGAGTGGGGAATAGGATTGGCGACGGGGAAAACAGAAGGTGGTGGAATTTGCAAGGGATTTGGGGAAGATGGGTATCCCCACAGGGTTGAGTTACAGTCAGAGCACCCCTCGAACTTTTGAAGAAGAACACCACCTCAGGAGAGTTACAATTGAAGCACCTCATTGCCTTTAGATACAGCCTTAGAAGAAAAAACAGCCTCGAAAGCGGGCTTGGAAAAAATTTGAAATATGAAATCTAAAAGGAGGCAAAAAACATTATTATAAAAGATACTAGTAGTTAGAATATGAATGAATTAGAATAGGAGGAAAAATAATTAGAAAGGGAATAGAAAAAAGGCAAGGACTAGAAAAAAAACAAGGAATAGAAATAGACAAGAAATAGGAAATGAAGAGAAATAGGCAAGGACTAGAAATAGAAAATGAAGAGATATAGGATAGGACTAGAAATAGGAAAGGGATAGAAGAGGATGAAGTTCCCTCCATAGAACAGAGTAAAATAGGAAATTAGGAGAGGGAAGTGGCGTCAATTCCAACCCCCATAAAGGCCAGCCAATTCAGTCGGCCACCCAGAAAGCCCCGCATCAATCTCCCAAGTTTAGGGGAGCTTCAACTTTATTCGTTGAAGCTTTTGGCTTCTCTTAGCACGGAGTCATCTGCCAAATAAAAAGTAGCAAAGATAATGCAGTTTCCTGTTAGGTCGATCATGTCGGTGTTGTCATTCTACTGTACATTTTGATAGAACAAATATAAATTATATGTTAGCACATCGAGAGCCAGGGTTGTATATAGATGTAAGTTCCCGCAATATAATTCTTGATCCCTAAGTGGAACAGTCTTTTTCCAATTCTCTTACTCAACGGAATGTAACTGATAAACCAATATGTAAGGAGAGATCAATTTGGCACGTTCTGAGCTAGGGTTGTATATAGATGTAAGCTTCAGCAATGTAACTCTTCAGCCCTTAAGTCTAGAACATTCTTCTTCCACTTCTCCTATTCGGCAGAATGTAGGTGATAAACCAATATGTGAGGAGAGATTAACTCTGGGGTGGACACCGTGTCAGATTACACCATTTTCACTAGCAAACACTCAAGAAATACCTCTTCGTCACTAAGAGAACATAAGAATTCCCTTGTCTATCAAGCTCCTAAAACGAATTTCAAGGTCGGGGTTCATACCTCCTGCCCATACATCACTGCAAAACTGAATCAAATGACTGAATAACTCAATTTAATCTTCTTGGGATGACACAAAAAGACCTCATTTCAGACGAGTTGGACCTCCCCCTTAGTAGGGACAACTCAAGAATGAGTCAATCGATCTGAATGGTCTGAATTTCTCTTATCTGGGACTGTCATGCCTCTGGTGCAGTTCCTCGAACTTAAGTCTGCCTTGGACAGTCACCCTAAACTTGTTTTGAGTTTCCTCCACGGGGTCAGTTGGAATTATGCGAATCTTTTTCTTCTCAGTTAGAAGTTGATTTTCCTCCTTTGTATCATCATCGTATTCAGTGTATATTGTGTCATGACCCAATTTTTTAAGAATGTCCTGCCCAGTGAAATAGATCACCCTCTGGTTGTGCAATCGAATTCGACATGCCCAAAATTGTGGCATTTGCAACACTTTCAGACTAGGATAGATTTAGGGATGGGGATTGATTCCACTTACTCTTCACTCCAAATCAACTTTCCCTCTAACAAGGTTAGCTCGGATGTTCTCCTGCATCTGGTTGTAAGACTGAGGTTTAGCATTGTCTGTAAGACGTAGTGGTCGCCCAAGCTAAAATTTGAACCTTCTGTCTATAGTAAACTGGTAGGAACTAGTACTGGACCTCCCGCTTCATCTTCATATTCTCCTGTTCTCCATATACTTGCTCATCTCTCAGGGTCTTTTGATACTGGATTCAAAGCGTCGTTGACTATCTTCTGCATCACTAAAGTCCTCCTTATGGAAGGGATTCAGGTCCTCGTCTCTAGCTCCCCATCGGTTCTCCATATACCAGTTGAGATTAATCTCCCCCTGGGTTTCATCCTCAATATTTGTAAGTCTCCACTGAAGTCGACGGATCACCCGCTGTATCCCTTACCGGGTAGACTCCGACATGTATCTCCTAGATGGCATGACTAAATGGGAGGTGAAAGAGGGTGTATGAGACTAATTGAAGGTGTAAAAAATTTAATTCGGGTTGTTGATTTTGAAAATCAACAAAGGGAATCTAGGGTTATGTCAAATTTGGCTATGGTTTGGTGGTTGGTAGAACTTTTTTTTGGTAGATGTGGCTTGGGTAGGGGCAAATGCTAGAAAACCGTAGGATATGATAAGAGTTGGGCTAGCTCTGATACCAAATGATAATGGAGTTAACTTAAACCATAATGAAAAACGAATGTTATTTGCTAAAATTTTAAAGGGTTACAAACAAATACTCTTGACATTAGGAATATAACAGCACAAACACAAAAGACACCAAATGGCGATGGCGAAGGAAATGGATGGCGGCTGGACAATAGCTAGAGGGGTTGCGGGCGCAATTGGTCGCTTGGAATGGCATGGTTGCAATACTAGAAGGCAGAGAAGAGGGGAGACAGTAGTAGGACAACAAGGAAATGGGAAGCGACAGCTAGCTGGGAGGCTGGAGGGTTGGCGGCAGCAGGCTGGGGTGGGGGGGAGGAAAGATCTAGCTACAGCATGTGCTTGGGGGGGAGGAAAGATCTTTCCGCAGAGAAGATAGTGGGGAATAGGGCTGACGACAAGGAAAACAAAAAGAAAGTAGACTGCAGAAGGAATTTTGAGAAGATAGGTATCCCCACAGAATCGAGTTACAGTCAAAGCACCCCTCAAACCTTTGGAGAATATCATCATCTCAAAGGAGTTATAGCTGAAGCACCTCCTCACCTTCAAATACAATCCTATAAAGGAAAAAAACCCCAAAGGCGGGCTTGGACAGAATTCTGAAATCTTAAAGATAAAAACTGAACCCTAAGAGCAAAAAACATATTTATAATAGGTACTAATAGTTAGAATAGAAAGAAAATAGAATTATGTAGGGAATAGAAAAATGCAAGGAATAGAAGATGGAGGAATAGAAATATGAAAGGAAAAAAAATAGCAAGGACAATAAATAGGAAAGTAAGAGAAATAGGCAAGAACTAGAAATAGAAAAGGAATATAAGAGGAAGAAATTCCCAATATGGAAGGGAGTAGAATAGAAAATTTCGAGAGGGAGGGGTGACAATTCCAACCCTCATGAAGGCCGGTCGATTCAGTCACCCACCCCCTCTTGACATTAGGAAAATAACAGAAAAAACATAAAAGACATCATGGGGTGATGGCGAAGGTAATGGATGGCGGTTGGACAACAAGTAGAGCGGTTGTTTGGGGGTTGTGGGTGCAGTTGGAGGCTTGGAATTGCAAATTGTGTGGTTGCAATACTGGAAGGCAGGGAGGAAGGGCGACAGTCGTAGGACAATAGTGAAAAGAGAAGCGTCAGCTGGCATGGGAGGCTGGTGGCAGCAGGCTATGAGGGAGGAAAGATCTTGCCACAACATGTTTGGGGGTGTTTTGCTGGAGTAGCGGCGACAGCAGGGAGTGGAGAATAGGAATGGCGGCAAGGAAAATAGAAGAAAGTGTGTCGCAGAAGGGATGTTGGGAAGATAAGTATCCCCGCATGATCAAGTTACAGTCGGAGCACCCCTCGAACCTTTGGAGAAGATCGTCATCTCGAGGGAGTTATAGCTAAAGGACCTCCTCACCTTCGAATACAGCCATAGAAAGAAAAAAATCCCCGACGACGGGCTTAGACAGAAATTTGAAATCTGGAAGATAAAAACTGAATCCTTAGATCAAAAAAACATATTTATAATAAATATTAATAGTTAGAATGTGAAGGAGCTAGAATAGGAAGAAAATAAATTATGAAGGGAATAGAAAAAATGCAAGAAATAGAAGATGAAGGAATAGAAATAGGAAAGAAAGAAAAATAGCGAGGACAAGAAATAAGAAAGGAAGAGAAATAGGCAAGGAGTATAAATAAGTAAGGAATATAAAAGGAAGAAGTTTCCTCTATGGAAGGGAGTAGAATAGGAAATTAGGAGAGGGAAGGGGTAACAATTCAAACACCCCCCCGCCCCCCCCCACCCCCCACACCAACA